ATGCCTCTGGAATTTTTAGATAATAACTCGATTACTCTTAAAGTAGATTTATCAAGACATATAGACATACCACAGGGTGCATATACCTCAGGCCTATCCCTTGAATTTTTTACTTATGCATATAGTAGATAAAATCCAATATATCACTTTTTTTCTTTCCTAGGTCATATTTTTTGAGTCTTATCTAAGAAATTGTTGCCAAACTCAACATGAGGTTTTTCCCCTATTTTTTTTTTCTAGAAATGTTAGAGATTGCTGTTTCATCTTTAGGCTTCTGTTTTGTTTTGAGTTGCTGCTCTATAAAAAGCTAAATATGACAGTTTTTCATACGAATATAAATTTTCTCAAAAAATATGTTAGAAAGATTCTCTTTTTTTTTCCACTTATTTGTGTTTGTACCTATGTGGGGGAAAAATGACTAAGCTCCTGGATTCTTTATTCTGTTCCAATATTCTGATTCTTTATTTTATTTATTTACTATTTCTGGTATTGGGGATTGAATTTAGGACCTTGGATTTTGTGAGTCAAGTGCGGTGCCACTGAGCTAAATCCCCAGCCATGATTTTTTATTTTTACGCCAACACTGTATGTATTGAAAGTTTGAGTGTCCAAATATAATGTTCAGAATAACACACAAAGTATCATAAATAATTTATTAGTGTTTCTAACTATAAAGTCACACATGAAAATTGTATTTATTTCATAAGCACACCAATGGGAAAAATCACAATGTCAAAGATAACACAATATAGTTATGAATATCTAACAAAAGATATGTAAGACCACTATGGAGAAAATTATAAAACTTTAGAAAAATATTTTTCAAAAGCAAGTAGATGGGAATATACGTAATTTTTAATTTGAAGACTCCATAGCATGAATAGATAACCCCTGTCATTTAATCCACAAACTCCATGGAAAAGTCTCAACGACTAAGTGTAGCCAGTACAACACCATCAAATTTTATGTATGAAAATAAGAAGACAGCTATTTCTCTATAATTATGTTTTTATCATATAAATATAAAGTTTACTTTTCACTCTGTGATATGTTTGCTTAAAAAATATTTTAAATACCCAAAGAAAACACATCCCAGATCTGTTCGGTGACTTCACGACCTCATGAGCACATGTTAGTTTGTGAAGCATGTTACTCTACCATGCGTAAAAACCTATCGTAGGAGAGCATTTTACAATTTGCAAAGGGCTTTCACACAGCACAGAGCCTGGAAGATGGAAAAGAGAGGAGCCGGGAATGTGAATGATAATTCTCCGACGGAGACCACCCTTAGCAAGCTAAGAATCTGTAAATTGCCTTCTCATGTTAAAAGTCTGAGTCTGCCTATTGGCCCCCAAGGGCTCGCCTGAAAAGCCAGCAGTTGGTGTGAGGGAAAGGAACAACTCCCCGTGCCACGGCTGTAAGGACAGGTCTCAGTGATCCGAGATGTTTTGGCATCTTGGATGGCAAGACGATAGTGCAGCTAAGGGCAGCAGGACTCAGACATAAAACCTCTACAGAGGCAGACATTCATCTATAGGAAAGAATTTCCCATTAACTTATGAGCTGCTCCTGCTGCAATGTCTCATTCCCTTGTTGCTAGGACCCTGCTTGCCTCAGTGCTTCCCACGACTCTGTTCCCTGTACTACCCCGTTACCCCTTCTCGAAGCTGTGTGTTCAATAAATAGTGGCAAGGTCACAGCGTCTTAGCCTGGAAAGAACTTTGACAGTCCTGGGCCCCCCATTTATTCAGTAAAGGTCCTGTCCTGTCTTTTGTTACCCTGCCACCCTACCCTTGGTCAGGTGATTGAAGGTCTCATTGGCCTCCAATAATCCTCCAAGCTGGAAGTGGAGTGCCTGGTGTGTCGGAGGCACAACTATTAGTTTATTTTATTTTCCTAGTTATTACATTTTAAATGAAGTGGGATGATTTACTTTTAAAAAACAGGAAAATAAAACACATGTGCCATCACTGTAAGCAACACTTGTGTATGGAACACGTTGTTTTCATGTGTAAAGTCTGCCTTAGGTGTCGTGATTGAAGTAAAAGATTGTTTTTGTTGTAGAGTTTTATTTGTATCTTCACTGCAGTTGTCTTTTAGATTTTGTAAACAAACAGTTATTGATATTGTTGATGTTTATTATACATTCAATATATATTAAAAATTTAATATTTCATTTTCTTGGTATTTTATTTTTCTGTTGAATATACACTGCATAATATAATAAAGCTCATAAAATTAAAATAAATAATTCATCAATAGAAATACTAAAAATAAATATAGGTGTTATACACCCATCTTATGCTGCTTTTTAAGAAATTTAATCTGACTCATCCTCAGTTTAATAGCGTAAGGAAAAGTCACACAGCTACCACTGGCAAGGGAGAAAGAAGGACCAAATTAGTATTATTTGCCTCACTAACTTTAGACCAGTTTACATGCCCATAATTCTTGATTTTTTTTTTCCTTTCTGGCATTCATGATCTCATAATTTAAACAGAATACAGGAACGCTTATTTGTGTGGGTATGAGTCTTTTCCCTTGGGCCAAAGAGTCTCAAACCCCTAATCTAAAACTTAGAAAATACAATTCAAATTCCACTTCTCCATCAGTTTCAGTTATATTTCTCTTCTCAATATGCCAACATCCAAAACTGGTCAAAAAATATCAAGAAATCTAAATTCCAATTCCTTTTTTTGCCAAGTAAATCTGAATAAATTATAGATTTCAGTTATTTGACAAAGCCTCAAAGTAAGATGTTTAGAGTGAGAAGTTCGCTGTTATATTTGCAAGAGAGAGAAAAAAAATCTCATCTCCCATTCCAGGGTGCAATAATAAATAGGGAAATATTAAGAGCAAAAAGAGGAAGTCTTGAAATAAAGGGAGTATGAATCTAGTGAGTATCCTTATGAAAGGCTTCCTAGGAAATGATCTATCTTAGATGAAATCAGCAAAGAGATAATGGAAATAGCAGAGATAAAGACAGAGCTAAATACATACAGTGGTTGAATGAGTTTTTCCCCTCTGATGTTCGTATTAAAACTTAATCTCTAAAGCAGTGATGAACGGAGGTGGAGCCTAATGGGCATGTTTAGATCACAGGGGCTCTACCCTCATAAATGAATTCATGACACTATAAAAAGGGCTTATGGGAGTGAATTTGCTCTTTTTTGCTCTCTCCTAGATGAGAATGAAGCAAGAAGATCCCACCAAATGCTAGCACCTCGTTCTCAGATGTACCAGTTTCTAGAACTGTGAGAACTAAAATTCTGTTCCTTATCAATGATCCAGCTGGTGGTATTCTGTTACAGTAACACAAAATGGACTAAGACTGTAGGAAAGTATGTCTTGTCTATCACAGTGAGGATCAGAGAACAGTGGCTGGAACTAGGAACTAGGAACTTAATTCACCCTTGTGTCACGCTATTCAGATGAAATGAATGGAACAGCTTTCTCTTTCTTTTCATAGTGTCCAAAACTAGACAGGCATTGCAAGCACGGTTACATTCTTCCCCGCAATGCCACCGAAGACTGCCTGTGCTTAAAATCTTTATTTATCAGCCTGAAGTAATCTGCCACTTGCTTTGATCTGAACTTTCTCTGTGATGAGGCAGACCACTAACTGTTTAGGCATTCCTTAATGGTTTTCAGAATACCTTTGCTTCATCTATTAAAATCAACACAAAAATGGATTATGGAACCTTGCTGTAATGTCAATTGTAATGTAATGCTAATGGGCAATGATAATTTGTGCACTGTGTGTTGGAATTCCAACTGAAGGCATAAAGCTTTATGATATAGTACTACTATTACTCAATCACATGAAAATTTTTAAGGCCAATTAAAATGTCTTCAATCATGGTCCTTCCTGCTACACTCTATTTTCTGAGCTCTTAATTGGGACTCTCTGATCTCCTTCTGACCCTAATGTCTCTCTCTATCCATTACCTTAAGACCAGTTCAACATATCCACATAAACAGCAACCTAAATCCATCCAAAGGGGGAAAAAACATGAACACCCACTGGTGTCTGAGACGATCACTCCAGATTCTCCTTGATTTCACTTGTGTTTTCAGATGGTTTCGAGTTCTGACTTCAACCTTCCCCTATATGGGACTATCTTGGATTATGATACTCGGCTTTCTCCTTCCCCATAGATGGCCTCAGTTCCTTTGTCTATGCTCCATGAGTATGGGAACGCTGTTTGCAGGCATGACATCGTACTGCTCGCTGATGGGCCACCACCCTAGCACCCATCAGCCTGCTCCATTTGTTGACATATGGGAGTTGCAGTACTCCAGAACGCCTCTACCGTCCACAAAAAAATACAGCAGAACAGAGGTTATATGAGGTCACTGATCCTCCCAGAAGTTTAGTACTCTTCCAGATTTTTCAAAGCTATCATATGTTGTGTTTCCCCATAAATAATAGCAGAGACTGAGGAACCATGAGCTTAATCATTGAAATGATCCAGTCTAGCAATAAAGGGGATAGATAGGGCCAGATTTGTTTGTATATAGTTGATAGAGCTACATGTTTGCAATGGCATTATGCTCTGGTAAGTCTGGTGATGGGGCAATATTAACACCCTGAATGAGTCAGGTAGTACTTACTAATTAGGGATTTCCTAGCAGACCCTTCCCTATACAGGAAATGCACTCGTAAAGTTAACAAATCCTCCTGCCACTCCAACTCTGTGAGCAAGGAAGAAAGGAGGTGCCTGGAAAGTACCTTCTCCTTTTAGTATTTTAGTTTAATTCAAAGGAATAAAGGTTTCTAATAACCTCTGTGTGTAAGGCTATTGGAACTTGAAAATTCTAATGTTGGAACTTCTTTTATCTATTCAGATTTGTATGAAAAAAAATTAAGTAGAACTGCGTTCTAACTTTTCATGATAACTGAGGTATGTGACAGGAAAGAAACTGCAGTTTCTCTGGTAGAGGAAATCGAAACTTAAGAGCACGGATGGGAAGAGCCTCACACTCCCTGCCTGGGCTTCTGGCGTGTGAGCCGCTCAGCACTCCTGAAGTTATTGGATTGCTCTTACCGGTATCATTTCTCCTTGTTATCTTTAGAAATATTTCATTTTCTTAGCATGTCAGAAGATTACAACATCTTGCTGTTCGGTTTCCGGGACCTTTACTGATTTACCTTCTTATTCAAGCAAAACAAGCACTTCCTGCATTGCTAAAAAAATCTCAGCTCCGGATCTCTTGCTGAAGAAATTTCCAAGGAGGTGAGTCTTGTTGGTAGTTTTGTAGAGACTATCCAAATTTCTCCTAGAAATCCACAAGATAACCCAAGGAAATCAGTGTTGGTTCTTCTGAATTGTTGGGGAGGGAAGTAGAGTAGTATCAGCTGCATTTGGAACAGCTGTATAGGAAATACAGTATAGTGACATGGAAGTCATATCAAAAGCATCATGAAACAGCATTAAGTAAAAAGCACATCTGGATATAAAGCTTTTTTATATACTACGATTCCTGTTTTAGAAAACATGTAAACAAATGGACACATATTGTAGATACTTTCTGATTCCGTTATTTAAATACTTGTTGCCTTAATATTTTCAATAAGTATATTCAACTTTTTATTTAACTTAATTCTGCATCAGGTAATAAGGACAATATTTCAGTTGGGATGGGTTCAGCAATTCGTCATTTTCCCCCTTAGGTGGCAAGAACTAGTGAGAGGTGAAGAGGCCAATTATAAACATTTCCATTATCTATTTTTGGAATTTTTAAGACTTTCTCTAGACCTTATTATAATATTTCATGTGTACTTAAATAGAATGTGAGATTTTAAATGTTGATTTCAGAATTTACCTATATGATAAGTCTTAAGTTTATAATTATATTACATCTTCTAAATCTTTACAGTGTTTTTTTGTTTACCTTGTTCATTTAGTAGTTGACAAAGATATTGCAATACCTACCATAAAATTGTGGTTCTTTTCTTGTAGTTCTTTCAAATTTACACATTCGCGTGCACTGATGTGCACTATTACCATATATTCTATGTGTGGTGGGGTATTGTACGTGTGCAGATGTATAGAGAAAAATATAGTTCATACTATTTATAGTACCTTGAAGACAATAAAGTAATGCCAAATAGAATATTCTTATTATTATAAAAATACATAAGTAAGGCTGATGTATCTTCTTAAGAGTTGAAATTTTTGTCATTATGTAGTATCTGATAATACTTTTCACCTTATCTTGGTATTTTTATCTTTAAAGCTACATTAATATAGATAAACTGGTTCTATTTTAGTTATTCTTTGCCTAATAATTTGTTCTTCATTTTCCCTCACTTAAAGTTTTGTTAGCAACACATAGGCAGATATCTTAAATCAAATTTGATAATTTGTTGCATACTTGATTAGACCCTTTAGGTATATGTTATAATTATGAACTTTGACTTGTTTTTGCTCTCTTCCCTTTAAGTTATGACACTTCTATATTCTCCTCGTCCTCTTTTTTTTTTTTTTTTTTTT